TGAAAGACAAAGGACTTGACTTGTAACGACTGACGCGAAGGTCAGGGATCGTGATAACGGAAACGATCTATTCAAAATGTGTGACTATAATACAACGATGAAAGCGGTAATAAAGTGATGTATAGTAAATCTCACAAATCGCGATACGGAAGCTCAAATAATAATTTACAGCGGGGTAATCTTTAATACGCGAGATACAATACTCAGTCAAATTTCCGAACACGGCCGGAGTCGTGAGACCCGCCGCAAGATTTCGATATAAATTGAACGGTATTTCTTACAATAATTCACGGTAATTAGCGGTAATCGACTACAGGATAAGACTCGCGGTCGGCATACAACCAACACGTACGACTTCGGAACACAGGTCGAGGCACGAGCCTCGCGCGAATCTCGATATTAATCGAACGAAACTAAATATACTATTTGACGGTAATTTGCGATACAACTATTCAAAAGTAACGGATAATGAATAGAATATAATAATCGAGTATCCTGTTAGTATCGTTTCAACGGCACACGTCTCTCCAAAAATTTCGATATATCTCGAATCGATTTTTCGGTACGGTAATCGGCGATAATATCACGGTATATTTTTGGCAGGAAAACCAAGACTTCGGAAAACGGTAGCGGTAATGATGTTTATGCGGAACTGTTTGCTTTATTTAACGGTCTTATCGCGACCTTGTGTACTCGGCAACAAAGACTCTAAGTCGAACAATAGAGTTGTGGTATTTTTAACAAATTTTTATTTCATTTCTTTTACAATTTTGGGACGCCAAGCTATTCTTGGCGAAGACTTAGTTAATCGCAATTTCCCTAGTCTTTCTCCTCTACTATTGTAGGGTTCAGTCTGAGTTCCCCTAGAACGTTTATTGGATGAACGAGGTGTTCTCGGAGGAGAGGAACAAGGCGTTGCAGGGATCGGAGAAAATGTCCTCGCTGTTAAATCTATCGGGATGAGTCTCCAAGGAAGGAATTGGATAATCTTTCGAGGATCGGTTGGCATCTGGACGGTCTCGAGGATCCCGATGATCTAGAAGGTCTCGGGGATCTGGAAGATCTCGAAGATCCCGAAGATCTGGAAGGTCTCTGTGTTCTGGTAGATCTCGAGGATTCAGGGGATCAGGAAGGTCTCGGTGTTCTCGAGGATGCCGAGGATCCGGAAGGTCTCGGTGATCTCGAAGATTCCGAGGATCTGGAAGGTCTCGGTGAACTCGAAGGTTCCGAGGATCTGGAAGGTCTCGGTGATCTCGAAGGTTTCGAGGATCTGGAAGGTCTCGGTGGTCTCGAAGATTCCGAGGATCTGGAAGGTCTCGGTGAACTTGAAGGTTCCGAGGATCTGGAAGGTCTCGGTGATCTCGAAGGTTTCGAGGATCTGGAAGGTCTCGGTGGTCTGGGAGATCTCGAGGATTCCGAGGATCTGGAAGGTCTCGGTGATCTCGAAGGTTTCGAGGATCTGGAAGGTCTCGGTGGTCTGGGAGATCTCGAGGATTCCGAGGATCTGGAAGGTCTCGATGATCTCGAGGATTCCGAGGATCTGGAAGGTAACGGGGATCTGGAAGATCTCGAGGATCCCGAAGATCTGGATGGTCTCGGTGATAAGGTATACCACAAGGGTTTTCAAAAAGGACAAAAGGATTACTCGCTGAGTAGCTAGAAGCTATTTCTGCGAGGTTACAAGTTGGTTGGAAAGTCGTTGACCGCATCTTCTTTTATTTACTTTCCAATGTTTTTCAATAGCGAGAAAATTATCTTATCTGTCGCGCCCTTCAGCGGCATAAATTAAAATTGAGATTAATTATATATTGAGATTGCGCCAACTTCATTACACTGGTCAGCGCTTACCGAGACCGCGCTCGGTGTGGCGAGCGTTAGGGACGCCACAGGACCCCCCCTCGCTGTATATTAGTTAGGGATCTGAAAACGGACCGGCGGTTTGGAAGTCCGTCCGCTGCGCGTTTGGATTTTCTCCGATTGAGATTTATCCGTTTCTTTTTTCTGATGATTTATTAAGATGTCATCTTCTTCCAGGTTATAAGCCGGTTTAACTCTATCAATCGATACATTAATATTTTTGCCGTTTTTATTAATAGTGATAACTTTTTCACTTCTTTTTATAATTTTATAAGGTCCTTCATACGGAGATCGAAGGCTTCCACTGAATGTTTCGTTTCGAACAAAAACGTGTGTTGCTGTTTTCATATCTTTAAAAATAAAAGTCGTTGTTTCGCCATGTCTTTTTATCTCTTGTGGTCTTAATTTCTGCATGTTCTTCCTAAGTTCCTCTAGAATCTCTCCCTGTTTTTCTTCACGAACTTCTGGTATATTTTTTTGCAGGAATTGACCTGGCAATTTGATCGGTTCTCCATAAACCATTTCAGCTGTTGTTGCTTGAAGATCCTCTTTCCATGCTGCTCTGATACCCATTAATATTACTGGTAAAATTTCTACCCAATTTTCTGTTTCATGGCAGTTAATAGTAGCCTTTAGTTGTCTGTGGAAGCGTTCCATTAATCCGTTCGCAGATGGATGGTATGCTGTAGTCCTTAGATGCGTGAAGCCCGTAAGTTGCATTAGACGTTTGAATAATTCTGCTTCGAACTGTCGGCCTTGGTCTGTAGTTAAGCGTACCGGTATGCCGAACCTTGCCATCCAGTTGGTAAAAATGGCTGTTGCTACGCTGCTTGCTGAAATATCTGGAAGTGGTATTGCTTCTGGCCATCTTGAGAATCTGTCTACTATCGTTAGACAGTATCGATGTCCTTTAGAGATTGGCATGGGTCCAATGATATCAACGTGGATGTGTTCGAAACGTCCAGATGGGATTTGAAAATTTCCGGTTGGCGCCTTGTTGTGTCTCGTAATTTTTGATTTCTGGCATTGAAGGCAAGCTTGTGCCCATTTGCGGCAATCGCGTTGTATTCCTGGCCAAACGAAGCGTTGCATAATTAGCTTTACAGTCGCTTTGATCCCAGGATGTGAAAGACCATGCAAGGATTGGAAAACTTTTTTTCGAAATGGTCTCGTCACGAACGGGCGCGAGAATTTTGATTCTTTGTCACAAAATAGCATGATCTCCGTTCCTGGAATTGGTATTTCTTTTAACTTAAGAGTTCCATTTCCTTTCAGAACATCCAGAAGTTCCTCATCTTCCTTCTGTGATTTAGCTAATTCTTCGAAATTTATCGCGTTGTGAATACTTTCCACTCTTGATAGAGTATCTGCCGTGATGTTTTCTTTCCCAGATATGTGTTGAATGTCAGTGGAAAATTGTCCTATAAATTCAAGGTGGCGTGCTTGGCGTGGAGAACTTCGCAGCGGATCTTTGTTGAATGCGTAGATGAGAGGTTTGTGATCCGTGAAAATTGTAAAATTTCGTCCTTCTAGGAGATGTCGATAGTGTTTAACTGCTAAGTAAATTGCTAACAGTTCTCTGTCGTAAGGGCTGTACTTTCGCTGAGCTGGGTTAAATTTTTTGCTCATGAACGCCAGTGGTTGCCAATTGTTTTTAATTTTTTGTTGGATTACTGCTCCCATAGCGTTGTCGGAAGCATCAGTTGTTAAAGCTAGCTCGACTAGAGGATCTGGATAGGCTAGAAGTGTAGCTCGGGATAAGCCTTTTTTTGTTTTTTCGAAAGCCTGCTCCAAATCTTGTGTCCAAACAATAGGAGTTTTCTTTTTTTTCAATGGACCAGACAGTGTTTCATTTAACTTAGCTTGATCCTCTGCTGCCCCAGGAATGAATCTTCTGTAAAAGTTTAACATTCCCAAGAACTGGCGCATTTCTTTAACTGTTTTTGGTTTCGGGAAATTTTCAATTGCTTGAACTTTTTCAGGAAGAGGTTTGGTTCCCTCTGCTGAAACCAAATAACCCAAGAACTTTACTTGATTTTCCCCGAAGTTGCATTTGGTTTGATTTATTATTAAGCCGTATTTGTCTAAACGCCGGAATACTTCTCGGAGATGTGTTTCATGTTCTTCTTCTGATTTAGATGCAATAAGTATGTCGTCTATGTACGTATAACAAAAGTCTAATCCATGTAAGACTTCGTTGATGAAACGCTGAAATGTTTGTGCTGTGTTGCGTAATCCAAACGGCATATACTTGTATTCAAACAGGCCGAATGGAGTTGCAATTGCTGTTTTGGGTATATCTTCATCATGTACAGGTATTTGGTTATACGCTCTTACTAAGTCTATGGTTGAAAATATTCTTTTGCCCTCTAGTGTTTGAGTGAAATCCTCTATGTGAGGTATTGGGTATCTATCTGGTACAGTTCTTGCGTTTAATTTTCTATAATCTCCGCAAGGTCGCCATGAATTTTCTTTTTTGGGTGCCATATGTAGAGGAGAGGCCCAGGGGCTTTTGGACGGTTGAATTATCCCTTCGTTTAGTAAGAGATCGAATTCGGCCTTAGCTGCTTTTAATTTGTCGGGCGCTAGGCGGCGTGGGCGACATCTTTCTGGCGGACCAGCTGTGGTTTTGATATAATGAACTGTCGAGTGCCGTGCTTCTTTTCTGACTCCGCCTAATTTGGTTATGTCGGGAAACTCACTGAGAAGGTTGTGGTATTTTGCCTGTTTGGGTAATATTTTAATGGAACTGATGTTTCCTTTTTTGACGACAGATTTAAGTTTTTGTGTATAAAGTCCTGTCTTCCCGTCGATAAGACGTCCTTTTTGTAAATCTGGGAGTAGATGATAAAATGACAAAAAATCTGCACCGATGAGCGGTTGCGTAACATCGGCTATGATGAATCTCCATAAAAATGTTCTTCTTAAACCGAAATTTGATTCCAACGTTATCTGTCCGAAGGTGCGTATGATTGTTCCGTTGGCCGCATAAAGTTGATATGTGCTTGACCACAGCGGGCCTTGGACTAGTTTGCGTGGATAGACACTGACATCGGATCCTGTATCTATGAGGTACGGGACTTTAGTTTTGATGTCCGTGATTACGAGGCGACAGGTATGTGGGTTTGAGTCATTCGCCGCCATTAATGACTCCCCTCCTCGTTTTCCTTAGTCAATTTGCAAGGTTGTTGGCATTTATTTGCTTTGCTTCCGAAACGCCGATGGTAGTAGCAAATTTCTTCGTTCTCTTCATTTGTTCGACTCTGAGATCTACTCTGTGATCGCCTTCTAGGCGACCAATTTTTGGATCGACTTCTTGATCGATAAAATTGCCTGTTATTTAATTTTGCAATTTGTTCCGTTAGTTTTTTAATTTGGTCCTCCAAAGTTTGTTTCTCAGTGGTGCTGTTTGTAGTGGCTGCTACAGATCGGCTAGTTACTTCAGCTATTCGGTCGGCTTGTTCAGCAACTTCTTCACGTCTGTCTTCAGTCCTTGTCGTGAGTATGATTTGCATTTGTGAGGGCAGTCGTCCTATCCATAAAGTGCGGAGGAGTTGTTCTGGCACATTTGATCCGGCGAGTGTTCGTAAATGCCGTAAGAACTGCGACGGTTTTCTATCGCCAAGTTCTTCGTGTTCTAGTAACTGGCGGGTCCGTTGTTCTTGAGTAATCGTTAGTCGTTGTATTAGTGTTTTCTTTATTGCTTCATACTTTCCGGCTTCCGGGGGTTGCGTGATTATGTCTCTCACTTCCCGAGCGTACTTGGTCTCAATGTGTGCTATTACGTATAAATACTTTGTTGCGTCTTGCGTTATTCCTCCAAGTGCAAATTGTCCTTCAAGTTGAATGAACCAGAGTTCTGGTTCCTCTGGCCAGAAAGGAGGTGCTTTTATTGCAAGGCGGCCAATATGTTGGTTATCTCCGTCCATATCGGGGTCCTCAATTTGTGGTATTTTTAACAAATTTTTATTTCATTTCTTTTACAATTTTGGGACGCCAAGCTATTCTTGGCGAAGACTTAGTTAATCGCAATTTCCCTAGTCTTTCTCCTCTACTATTGTAGGGTCCAGTCTGAGTTCCCTTAGAACGTTTATTGGATGAACGAGGTGTTCTCGGAGGAGAGGAACAAGGCGTTGCAGAGATCGAAGAAAATGTCCTCGCTGTTAAATCTATCGGGATGAGTCTCCAAGGAAGGAATTGGATAATCTTTCGAGGATCGGTTGGCATCTGGAAGGTCTCGAGGATCCCGATGATCTGGAAGGTCTCGGGGATCTGGAAGATCTCGAAGATCCCGAAGATCTGGAAGGTCTCTGTGTTCTGGTAGATCTCGAGGATTCAGGGGATCAGGAAGGTCTCGGTGTTCTCGAGGATGCCGAGGATCCGGAAGGTCTCGGTGATCTCGAAGATTCCGAGGATCTGGAAGGTCTCGGTGAACTCGAAGGTTCCGAGGATCTGGAAGGTCTCGGTGATCTCGAAGGTTTCGAGGATCTGGAAGGTCTCGGTGATCTCGAAGATTCCGAGGATCTGGAAGGTCTCGGTGAACTCTAAGGTTTCGAGGATCTGGAAGGTCTCGGTGGTCTGGGAGATCTCGAGGATTCCGAGGATCTGGAAGGTCTCGGTGATCTCGAGGATTCCGAGGATCTGGAAGGTCTCGGGGATCTGGAAGATCTCGAGAATCCCGAAGATCTGGATGGTCTCGGTGACAAGGTATACCACAAGGGTTTTCAAAAAGGACAAAAGGATTATTCGCTGAGTAGCTAGAAGCTATTTCTGCGAGGTTACAAGTTCGTTGGAAAGTCGTTGACCGCATCTTCTTTTATTTACTTTCCAATGTTTTTCAATAGCGAGAAAATTATCTTATCTGTCGCGCCCTTCAGCGGCATAAATTAAAATTGAGATTAATTATATATTGAGATTGCGCCAACTTCATTACACTGGTCAGCGCTTACCGAGACCGCGCTCGGTGTGGCGAGCGTTAGAGACGCCACAGAGTCTTCGAATAATCGATAACAGGAAGATGATTCAGCGGAGATTTCGCGTTAACAAATATTCTTGCAGAGCAAATTGTTCATTTACGGTAACACACGCTCACGAAGAAATTTTTCGCGCAAATCCCGCCTTTCGATATGCGATACGAAACGACCAAAATTGCCACGTCACGCTAGGACTTAGATTTCGGCACGTAACATAACGGTAACATACACGCTTAATATGACACGAAACAACATTTAACGATAATTAACGATATAAAATTCTACGGTACGGCACGAGACTGTCGGCACGAACTCCCTGAGAGGAACAAATCCGCGACGCCCGGGGACAGCTGGCGTCCGGCAATTACGGTACAAGTACAAATACTTTACGCGATAATCTTTACGGAATATTCGTCGCCCTGCGACGGTATCTCTAAATCAAGACGCCAACTGATCCCGGATGAACAATAATTAAGCTACCTGTGCGGCGGCTTACAATGATCGCTGGCTATGGCTTCCTTCGGGGTCGCTTTCTCGAGGCTCTTCAACACGTGTATCCGTGGCATGAGGTTACCGAACAGTGACGAATTTCAAGTGCTTCCGTGAGGTCCTCGGATCCCGCGCCGATCTTCCGCGCATTCCATCAATTTTCGAAGGAACGGGGGTTGATTCTCCGCCCCCTTCAGAGTCACAGCTGTTGGACGGCGTTGCCCTTACGCAGGGGCCCAGAGTCCACGGGCGACGGTATCTCTGATCCATGAAGACGGAACCGGCTGGCCAGGCCGTATCCTCGTCTTTTTTTTTTTTTTTGAAATTTTCTTCATTCTCCCAGTCGGCCGCCTGGGAGGTTGTCTTCAGCTCCGTCGTCCGCATGTTCTGCCGTCTTTTAATCTGAAATTTGCCTGGATTAATACAGTTTCGGTATATGATTGGCGGCGGCGCGGGATCTCGGTACCTGACCTTTTGCTTCCTCCGGTAACTTCGGTATATCCGGTATCTGCCTATACGGCTCACTCTCCTTTCGGTATCCTGCTGTATCTTCATGTACAAAGGAGATGACGCACGCTCGCACAGCAGCCGCACTTTATTCGCGGATCTTACATTAAAGCTAAAATAAATCTATACACTCAGATTATATTTGTTTCATGTTCCCTCAGGCGCGAGGAACGACCCCGCGCACGCTGTTCCTCCTCGACAAGGCAATCGTGACGGAGCTCAAAAAGCGTCACGTCACAATATATATATATATATATATACGAAACTTTTATGATGTTTTATATATACAGGGTGAGGAAAAAGTACCGGGACACCTAAATAACTTCTGAACGGTTTGAGATATCGGATTGAAATTTACAAGGTTACAATGGTATCACACAATCTATCACATAACACCAAAAACGCCCATTTTGACACCCCCGGGGGTGGGGGGAGGGAGGGCGAGAAAATTTTAAATGGAATGTGGGGTCGAGTGAGGGTTCGTTTGAAAGAGCTTTTCGAGATGAGAACAACGTGATGTCGCCGAGGTCTCTACGATTTTTTTTCGCAGAGTTATGATCATTTAAACATTGAGATTTCGCAGTAGCGGAAGGCCCACGATGAGGACGTGAGAAAGACTTTCCGCGGACACGTGTGGATAAAATTGCATATAGGAAGGCATGTGGGGTGTGCGTGCTTGCGCAGTAATTAACGACTCCAAACCACCTCTGCTGTGTGTGTGTGGGGGGGGGGTGCGTGTGCGTGTGTATGTGTGTGTGTGTGCAAGACCGAGGATGTAGTATGTAATTAACTAAGGCAAATATAGGAAGGTTTATATCAATTGTTCAAAATGTGCACCGTCAACTGTTTGACAACAGGCTATCCGATGATAAAAAGATGAAACGGCATTTTGAATGTAATTATGAGGGATAAGAGCAGCTTCCTGAAGAATCCGATTTTGTAATTCATCCAGATTTTGTGGTTTCGTTTTGTAAACTCTTTCTTTTAAATAACCCCACAGAAAGTAGTCGAGAGGTGTTAGGTCAGGCGATCTAGGAGGCCACTCGATAGCTCCTCTCCTACCTATCCATCGCTCAGGAAACATTGTGCTTAGATAATGACGGACGTTCCTTCCGTAATGCGGCGCAGCACCATCTTGTTGAAACCATGTGTCCTCAAAATTGTCCTCCACGATAGCCTGTATTGCTGGAATTATTTCATGTCTTAGCATATCCTCGTACTTCGCAGCTGTTAAATTTCCATCGATGAAAAATGGACCAATGAGGGCATTATTGAGAATGCCTGCCCACACGTGTCCGCGGAAAGTCTTTCTCACGTCCTCGTCGTGGGCCCTCCTTTACTGCGAAATCTCAATGTTTAAATGATCATAACTCTGCGAAAAAAAATCGTAGAGACCTCGGCGACATCGCGTTGTTCTCATCTCGAAAAGCTCTTTCAAACGAACCCTCACTCGACCCCACATTCCATTTAAAATTTTCTCGCCCTCCCTCCCCCCCACCCCGGGGATGTCAAAATGGGCGTTTTTGATGTTATGTGATAGATTGTGTGATACCATTGTAACCTTGTAAATTTCAATCCGATATCTCAAACCGTTCAGAAGTTATTTAGGTGTCCCGGTACTTTTTCCTCACCCTGTATATATATATATATATATATATATATATATACAGGGTGATTCAAAATAACCCCTGTGTCCGTAAAATGACACATTGTTGAGTCAATTCTAAGACGATTTTTCATTTTGCAAAATTTCGTCCGAAGCTTAGTTTTCGAATTATTAAAGAAAGAAGTTAACGCATGACGGGTCGGATACAAGAGGCAGGCAAGGGTGACGCGAGACCCGTCAGACGCGGGCGCTTACGCGGGGCGCCTGCTGCGATCAGCTGATCGCTATACACACAGACACACATGCGACACATACATTCTCTGTCTGCTGTCTGTCTGTCTGTCTCTCTCTCTCTCTCTTTCTCTCTCTCTCTCTCTCTCTCTCTCTCTCTTTCATTCGCTCACTCTCTCACGTGTATTTTTTTTTTTTTTTTTTTTTTACGAGAGGGGAAAATGCATTTTATGCATACCCACCGGTCGATCCAGTGAGTTATGTGGGACTCGAGTACCAAGTCGAATTACCAACTCGGTACTCCCTACCCACTAAAAACCCCTCTCTTTTCGCGAATTTTCTTTGACACACTGTCCCTCTGTCCTTCCCGAGATCCGTTTTCACATAACGTTAAAAAATAGTTATTATTACCTTGTTCGATGACTTCTGATGTATTGCTGTAATTGCTTGAAGGAGAAATGAATTTTCCGATAGATCGTACGTTCTCAAATTTAACGTAGATATCACGTTGCACAAGACAGAAATCCACACTAAATTATTAACTGAAAGTTTTTCTTCTTTTATGAACTGCATTCTTTTATAAACTTTAACGTAATCACATTTATTTATTCACTCGATGAGACGAGAAATTTACTGATGACTCTATCACTAATCACTGTCGAATAATAACTGTTGGCGATTAAAAATCACTCGATGAAGAAACACGCGCGGACACGTTACTACACGACGCGACAATGCGACGATAATTACTCGGCGACTGCAAGTACCGCTGCTTCCTTGTCATGGTAGGTTGCGGTAGGTTAAGGTACTACTGGCGCTATCGAACGCGATCATGTGTTCGATTGAAGAATGCGTGGTAGACGTAAAGAATAAACATTTAACATATTAATATTATTATCATGAATGTGTGTGATGTCCATACATCGTATGATATCTATTTAAAAATTAATTAGATTAAATAAGTGTTTTTAAAATATTTATTACTTTTATACACCCATATTAAATATTAATATTAAATATTTATTTAATTATTTTATCTATATTATTTACTATTTTATTTAACTATTTTATTTAACTATTTTATCTTTAACTATTCTATTTATTTATTTATCTATTTCATCTA